AAACGGACGCAAATTGATGAAAAATACAACACATTTTAAGAAAAGAACTAAGGATTTAATTGTAGAAAACAAATTAAATATTATTATTACGTTGACGCATTCTCGCAATGACGTCATGATAAGGAAATCATCTTTATGTTTGTGAAATAAAAATGCTGACTATAGAATGTTGTGTGTGCTTCCTATCTTTCTAGTCTGTCTGTTTGATCGTAAGTTAGACAGTAGTATTTCCACTAACAATAGTGTAGTCGCAAATACAAGAGGAGAAAAGGAAAACCTTTTTGATTGATTTTAAAATAGTGTTTGAAGTTTATCCGAGAAGGAACATGGTTTATCTTACTTGATTTTCATAGTTCGATTATAACGTCACAAGCTCAGCAGTATAGTATGTTTTATGAATGTTAGTTTGCACGAAATATATAAGCGGGCATGATTATGATTACCAGGATAAATTGAAAACCATTTTATGATGAGTGACAGATTCAAGGGGGCCCAGGCGGACGGCCCACCCTCCATAATTTTTTTCAAAATTTGAAAGTTTAGAAAAACTAAAATATTATTTAAATTTAAGGCTGAGAGTCCATTTCCGGCCAACTAGAGGTGCCATAATCATAAATTTTCTTACATCAGCATTTCTTAACTCGTCCCCCAACTTTCTACAACGGATAGACGCCCTTGTAACTTATACATAAGTAAAAAATACTTTCAACCAGTGTTAGCAACTATCGGGAAATGATGTCTACAGAAGCACTCAATCAACTGTCATGAGAACTGACTGTTCTCACAATGTAGGTTTTAGAATATTCAGTCTTTCTTCAGTTTTTCGGTATAAGTTCTAAAAATCAATTTAATTTAATGTACTCAGCAAACCAGAAATGTTATTATAAATCATGCAAGTTTATGTGTTGTTGCAAATGTTTTAAGAATTTTAAATACGAATTTAGTGTAACATTTATATGGTCTTTTGTCTGAATATTATTTGTGGAAGTAAAAATAAAATAAATAAATAAATAATTTCCGAGCCACTAGGGCTCATAAGGTTGGGGCTTATCCCCAGTTTCTATAGCATGAAGCGGATGAGAGTGTGCTGCTCCCCCTGGGCGGATGCTGGTCCACTGCAGTTACTCCCAGCTTTTACTGGTACTCATTGATAACAACTGGGTAATGCAGATAAAGTGCCTTGCACAGAGGATTGAAACTCCATCATACAACGCATACAGTAGGCCTACTTATTTTATAATTATTATTTGTAATTGTATTTATTCCATCAACAAACAAATTTATAGAAACAAACAAAAGCACTGGTCGTTGTGTAACATATCAGATGATTCAACTGAATAATGAACTTTTCCTTATAAGAGCTTTCCCTGAGGGGCTGTTCACAACTATTAACATTTTCGCAAGACTTGTACATTTTTTTTCTTTACCCCTCCCTCCTCTCTGAAAATGTAGGGCCCTCATAACAAAATGCTGATCAGCAACAAAAGTAGGCCTACTGTACTTGATTATCATAAAAATGTATTTCAACATGGTGGTTACATTATATTGGTCTTGAAAATCTATTATTTTAAGTATTTTATGTTATTTTGAATCAACATTTTCATGCATAAAGTGTAACAATTCTTTCTTCCTCCCTTCCCCTAGCATACTGTTTGTAAACTTGTGAAATTGTTGATAATTGTGAATGGCCCCCAAATTACAAAACCAGACATAGGCCTATATAATAGTTTAACTGGCGAACGAATACAAATCTGAGGACGAATATCTGCTGTGGTAAGAGGGACATAAAATTAGGCCTATACCGTAAAACCTCGAATTGAAGCCCATGGGCTTCTTTTCGAGGCTACTTTTGCAAACCTAAGAGGGGCGCTTTAATTCGAGATGGGCGTCTTCTCGAGTTTAACCCAATTGGGCTTCTATTCGATGTTTTACGGTTAATAATAAGCAGTAGATAGAGCAGAGCAGAGATCATCGGCTATTAAAGGTGTTTTTCTCAGTAGGCAATGTTTGAGTTTCGTTTTATAATTTGGTCATAATGTTGCTACATTAAATCAATAGGGGCCTATACAAATGGTGATGATAATGATTTAAAAAAAAAATTATTCCAACAATATTTAATACATTAAGTACATGGAGTTTTTCATGGATATTTTAATTTTATAACTCCATGATTAGGATGAGTTTGATCGTCCAGTTGGTCGTTGAAGTGTGCTAAATGTATATAATAGGGGTATATATAGTTTGTGTGAATGTAGATAAAGTTGTAGGTGCAGGCTCATACTACTTTAAACATTTTTTTAACAGTCTACAAATATGACTATTACAGATGCTTCTACCATGCACTTGCATGACCCATTGAAAATGGTATGATCTGATTATCAGATCTGAAACCGGAGCTTCGCCGATAATACGTAGGCCTAGCAGAATATCGTCATATATATATATTGTCATAACTACTATATTTGTTATATAAATACATTAAAAAGCATATCCGCACTCCCCCTCCAGATGTGTATAAGAGACAGATTTTATGATGAGTGACAGATTCAAGGGGGCCCAGGCGGACGGCCCACCCTCCATAATTTTTTTCAAAATTTGAAAGTTAAGGTATTTTACGAAGCCTCGTGATTGTTTCTACATCAGACATGTGAAATTTAGCGAGATTTCTTTTGATTTTAGGTCTAGGCCTATTAACAAATGGTAGTAATGTTGATACGTTTTCCATCGCTGCTGCCATTCGTTCGAACTAAACAAAAAAACACGGCCTGCGAAAAGGTCAAAATATGGACATGACGCATGCGCAACAACAACTCGGAAGATTTCAGGAAAAAAACAGGCCTCGCGATGGTCTGTTTTTGTTCCGAGATAACTCAGGGGACCCCTGTGAAATCTCGGAAAGTTTTACAAGGATTTGTTTCACACTCATCCAAACCTGGTTACAACTTGTTACAAGTTGTTAATATTTGCAAAATAGCATCAGTGTGAAATGGGTATTAGTTGAAAAGCTTTCTTAACACATTTAATTTAATTTTGCATCACAGCTGTCTCTTATACACATCTAGATGTGTATAAGAGACAGAATATACAGTAAACAATTTAGCGTAATTAAGTAATTAAGTCGTAAAATAAGAAGAAGACAGGTTAAAAATAAAGTTGAACAATAATTGTATATGATTTGCGCCCTCTTTATTAGTACGTATACACTCTACGATTGGTCGATAGGACTGGCAGTACAGTACCACACAACAGATAGGATTAAGGAATACGCTGGTGATAAAAGATACAGACTGCAAGGTGTTTTGTGGATGTAACTGTTACCGGAATTACAAACATGGAAAACTCTTGGATGCTAAATATACTTTAAGAACAATGATTTAGTTTTCATGTACTTAGCTATTTATTATACGCAACAATGTCTTCGAAATCTAAAGTGAAAGTAGCGGTCCGTGTTAGGCCTTTCAGCAGACGAGGTAGGCTATTGACATTGTTATGAACACTCACTTATTAAAACCAGTTCCCACGGTGCGATCGTACCACCATGTGGATGTTTACTTTTTGTCTACCATACTGTAGATCTTTCTCTGCTCGCCCTTACATACAAAACTACAAATCACACATATAAGCAAACACGGTGTTTGATCACCTGTAATTTTCTGCTAAATGTGCGATTCTTCATTCTGGCGTTTTGTGTAGGCCTATCATCAGCTGACGATGGGCAAATTATCTTGTCAGTCACTGCCATTGTTGGTTTTGGTCTGTGGCACAGCATGATGGATAATCTTTATAACTCAATCATCTTCAAATACTGTACACTGTCTGTCAGTTTTTGGCAGTAAGATAAATGTGAGGTGTCTTCACACAAAATGTGTCTTTTTTTATATTTTATATATTATTTTATACATTTTATCGTATTGTTGCCGTCGGGGAGAGTTGGTCCCCCTCCCCCCGTCGGGGAGAAAAAGCACAATTCGTCAGGGAGAAAAAAAAATTATATATATTTTCTACATATTAGTAGACTCTAAAATCGATTAAACAAGCCTTTGAAACCCCTAAATTGTCAAAATTTTTGGGGGCATCGCCCCCCCCGTACCAATTTCGAAGCCTTTTAATCGAAGCTTGACCATGCCCACTTTGCTTTCGTCGGGGAAATCTGACCCCTCGTCGGGGGCTGTCTCTTATACACATCTAGATGTGTATAAGAGACAGGGCGGGGATTTTTAAAAAAATGTTTTAAATGTGAAAAAATACAAAATTGCGTTCCACCAGAGTAGGCCTCTTGTAAATGATTGATAGGGACAATTTAATTCGCTTGATGTGAAACAAAAAAAAAATAACTACTGTACACACGTATTAACCAATGTATCCACTGGTTATTCACATAATATGAGTATGGCAACTCTGAAGAGTGAAACACCTATTGATGTGTAAGATAGCGTATGGTACTGTATGCTGTCTCGGTAATCACTAGGAACACTTACATGTACTGTACCATTACCAAGATAGCATAGGCCTACAGTACGGTATTACTGTATATTTCTAGCCACTGCCTTGATGTTCAATACCTACCTCAAAAGTGATTCGTGTAATAGCTTTTGACCTCACCCAAGTTGGAAGAAATGACATCTGGAAGACTTATACCCATTTCACACTAAGAGAAAATATTACAATTTTTAACAATTATTATTAGTTGTTATTATTAAGTTGTAACAAGTTTGATATTCCGAGATTTTTGGTTCGTTTCACACATGCACTTTCAAACCATGAGAAATCTCGGGAAAACTCGGAAGAATAATGACTAGGCCTAGAGGCCTAGGGTAGTACTAGTAGGCCTAGGATAGTTGTAGGTTGTCCGAATTACATATCAACTACTAAACTAGGCCTGGTACCGAATTAACAAGATTATAATTATTCCATGGTCCTTAGCCTTCGGAGAGTAAAACGAATTCAACTCCTACTGTAGCTCGCTTGCTGTAGTCGAGCTGGCGAGAAAGATAGGCCTAGGCTAGCTAGGCGCAGTCGGGCCGCCGGCCGGTAGCTCACCATTGTTGTTAGAGGCAATCAGTGCGACAAGCATCATAATGATTCACTGTCGGCGTATTTTACGAAGCCTCGTGATTGTTTCTACATCAGACATTTGAAATTTAGCAAGATTTTTTTAAATTTTAGGTCTAGGCCTATTAACAAATGGTAGTAATGTTGATACGTTTTCTATCGCTGCCGCCATTCGTTCGAACTGATAAAAAAAAAACACAGCCCGCGAAAAGGTCAAAATATGGACATGACGCATGCGCAACAACAACTCGGAAGATTTCAGGAAAAAAACAGGCCTCGCGATGGTCTGTTTTTGTTCCGAGATAACTCAGGGGACCCCTGTGAAATCTCGGAAAGTTTTACAAGGATTTGTTTCACACTCATCCAAACCTGGTTACAACTTGTTACAAGTTGTTAATATTTGCAAAATAGCATCAGTGTGAAATGGGTATTAGTTGAAAAGCTTTCTTAACACATTTAATTTAATTTTGCATCACAGTGTGGTACCCACCGGAACAGACTGTAAGACAATTGATAATAAAGTAGTAAAAACATGCAAATGCATGAATATGCAGGAGGTGTGATTCTGGAGACCACCTGGGTCATTCCCGCAATATACAGGATACTTTAGACCCTGTCTACTCAAGGCAGTTTCATTCAAAGTTCACAACAAATATTCATGAGTTATTCAAAGCATTTCAATTGTTTTGAGATATTATTTATTTACTTTTTTGCAGAGATAAGCCTTGGAACAAAATGTTGTGTGGAGATGGAAGGAAATACCACATATTTATTACCATTCTCTGGGAAAGACCGGTAAGCTATATGTCATGTTGCTATGAATTAATCCATTCCTATTAATTAGATCTCCTCCCCCAAAAAAGAAACACATTCTTATAAAATTCTAAGTGAACCAGGAGAAAGGAGAAGTTTACCAATTTTATATAATATGACGACTGATTTTATCATACAGTACTCAGTTACATAATATGATCCATTTTGAAATTGCGAATCTCGTTAATGCTTGTTGTACATGCTCTGAACTAGATTTGTGATGACGTAGCATGTGGATCGCTCTGTCCAGGTTTAGTGACAGGCCATTGTTGTGCACAGGTTTAGGATGATTCCTAAACGAGTTCTTTTTATTATTGCTATCCTTGTATTCTTATTTATAAACTCAAATGGCTTAGACAAGAAAAAAAAGCATTGAATGTCGAAAAGTAAGAAAGAACGAGAAACATAGGCCTACATATTATGGCTATAATAGGCAGATAGTTTTTAACCAGTACAGTAGTACATTTAGCATTGAAGATGGGATGATTACAGTAGGCCTACAGTAAACCAATGACAACAGAAAAATAAATGTGGATGCCGTCATGAATTTCCTGGATAATAGGCCTGGCAATTGATAGGGAAATCCATCAGTAGAGAAATATGAACATTCACCAAGGATTACCATCGAGCAACAGACTAATTAGGAATACAGTTTCGCTAATCCAACTGGGAATATTTCTCCTGGGTCTGCTACTAAAAAGCATGTAAAAACAGATTCTACAGTATCATTTGAGTTTGGGAATTCACTTGGTTGTTTATCTGGATTGTATTGTATCTCATTCAAGTGGAAGTCCAGATAATTAATGATTGTATTATCTGCTTTCAAAGGGTTGAAATTTGATTATCTTCTAGACTCAACCTGGTTCACTTCCGACTTACACTATGTTCAGAAAACCGGATTACTATAGTAATGAAATATGAAGGTAATCTAATAAAGATGCTTTCAAACTACAGCATGTCTATATTGTCTCGATTAATATTAGTAGTCAATCAAGCGTGACCAAACAGGAACTGGAATAGAACACGATTGGTTTATTTGCGATCTTAAATTTTGGATGGTTTATATCTTGGCCTATTACAGTACCTGTGGCAAAGACAAGCCAAACCAGTCACTCCTCGCAAAAAATTGATTTTTAGTTATTATACAGGGTTAAACAGTAAAATGAGAGCTATAAAATTGTAAAGAATCATGTAAATCATTTCCTTTATGAAGTTACATGAGTTTAAACATACAGCTAACAATATTTGAGAAATCAGCCTTCAAATTTTATGTTTTCGGACATTTCTCAGGCAGCATCATCAAATTGTTTAAGAATTATTGTTTTAACATTGAAAATGGGAAAAAAAAACAACATAGCATGATGTATAGCATGATAAAATGGTTAGTTTAGTGAAATAAAATATATTTAAAAAATATTGACATTCCAGTATTTAGGCCATTATCTCTGAAACACGATTTGGGACGAATAACTGGTTCTGGTTTGTCTTTGCCACATATTCTAACCTAGACCAGGGGTTCTCAACTGGCAGCCCAGGGGCCATTTCTGGCATGCGAGTGATGTTATTCGGCCCGTAAGAACAAGCCTAAATATTGTAGATAACCACTAGTCCTATTGTTGCATTTTTATTTCACTCTACATTACATTCTTTTTCATGTTTGAGTGGCCATCCTTTTCAAATTGATTCAATCTACAAACTTGGAGCCTGTTAAAATATCCTGAGTACTGGTTCACATTTAAGTTCTAAATTATAGTCACTTATAATTTGGCAATCTATTGTAAATATCTACTGGGTATATTGTGATGTGAAACCTGGGTATTTGACTCTGTATCTGGCCATAAAGATCTAACAAAATACCATATTAATCACAGACATCCAGGACTATGGTGGGATTACAGTATCTTCAATACCCATCCATAGAGTGAATTATCTCTAAAATAATTATTGACATTGATAGTTGTTCGTAGTTTGTACCAGCAATTAATTACAGTAAAGTGGAATGACTGTAATGAAGTATTGTAGGGCATCCTTACAATCTGGTTATGGGCTCAGTGTAATTCCAGCATCATTTTGCTCCATTTCATTAGTAATAATATATTTTAAAAACAAATTTAGTATCAGAGGCCTAAAATAGTCAATTAAGCAGTGGCAGTGCCAGCGGGGAACAGGGGGCTTAAGCCTCCCATCAGACAGGTCAAGCCTTCCACTGGACAGAGCTCGTCGGGCAGTCAGACAAAAAATAAATATGCCTATGCCATGCCAACACATGTCTGTCACATTCTGAGAGTGCCATTTCCAGCCATCCAGAGGTCCCTAAAAAAAATCTCATTTTGATGGGGACATCCCCCTCCCAAACCAAACCCCAGCTCGGACCTACAGCGCTCCGTTATCTCACTCAGCCCCTCATGTTGGACAGCTTAGCTCCCCCCAGAAATATATCCTACAGCTGCCACTGCAATTAAGGTAATTTAAGTTTTATAAATTATATATTTAAAAAAAATGGAATTGTTTAATTTGTACAGTATTTAAAATATTAACTTTCATGTGAATTAGATTTAGAAACAAATTAATATGTGTGTTTAAATTATATAAATCTTTGCATACCATACCCTGAAATTTCTGCCACCAGTAAATTTGAGGATTCTAAACTTTTTTCTTCGTTTTTGAGGGTTTTCTTTATTTTTATTTGGCGATATTAATCCTTCAGCGGATACAGTAAAGAGTGATGGTAAGATTCATTGGTACACTTGGATAAAACAAAACTAAATGTAACAACAGAAAAAAGTAAATGTGGCAAAGACAAGCCAAACCAGTCACTCGTCGCAAATCGTGTTTCAGAGAAAATGGCTAAAACATGCTGGAATGTCAAATTTTTATAAATCTATTTTATTGTACTAAACTAACCTTTATATATCTACACATCATTCTATGCTGTTATTTTCCCCATTTTCAATGTTAAAACAATACTTTTTAAGGATTCAAAGATAGTTTCTGCATGAGAAATGCCTGAAATCATAAACTTTGACGGCTATATTTCTCATATACTGTACAGTATTGTTCTTTAAACAGCTGTGTGGTTAAACGCTTTTAACTTCATAAGGAAATGTCCAATTTGAATGATTTTTTTACCATTTTATAGCTATTATTTTACTATCTAACACTGTATTAATAACTCAAAATCGATTTTTGCGACGAGTGACTGGTTTGGCTTGTCTTCGCCACAAATATTGTGAGATTCAACTCAATACTATGTCAGTCTGTATTTGATAACTTTCAAGATATTCATGAGATAGATTAGATAGATCAAAACATAGACAAATATATATTCCAAAAATATTTTTAAAAAAATGATCAACTTCTGTTACAGTACATTGAAAATGTTGTCTCTTACTGTAGGAAAAAACACACCCTGACTTTAAGCCTACTGTATACCAATGTGAGAAAAACAATAATATCAGTACTTAATTAATAATAATATGTGGTAGTTCTTCATGCTTTATGTTTCTGGTAAAGAGTTAGGCCTACTGATAAAGGTACATTAGTTACATACTGCAAGTTGCCAACTATTGGCTGAATACAGTACATCGCACCATAGTTTATGGCACTGCTCTTTAGATTTTATCATGTTTAGACATTGTAAATTTGTTTATGTACAAAGTATCATTTGACTGTACAGTATGTACTGTCCCTGGCAAGGTAGCTGACAGTTCCTGTAATTCTAGAGACCTCTATATTACTGTATATTTACGTTGTCCCTTTGTGTGAATGAGGAAACGAATTGTAGATTCCAGAATGTCAAACAACAAGTGGTTACTGGTTTTAACTTTTTCAGTTTTGTCAAATGAAATTAAATAATTTCAGAGCTTAACCCTTTGAACCCTGCATTATTTACATCTTGCGGCACCCTCACCCTGAGTTATATCAACAAAATATGCTTTTTTTTTTTTATTACAATCATCACCACCACCTCCCAGGCCCTGTACCGCTACCATAGCCATCCATCAACCCGACGCACAACTATCATCACTACCACTGCTGGCACTAGCACTATCGTGATTGGCCTAGCCTAGGGCTAGAAACTACACTGTTTACCTCACTTTCACTTTCCAAATTACTTCCTGGATAATTGTCGTCATCAATATTTTCTTGGGAGTCATAAAGTATCAATCGTAAAGCACGTTGGCTTTTATTGTCAAATTATTCAATATAAATTTGTTTAAAAAAAAAAAAATCAACACGTACAGTATGAGGCTGTCAGAACGACTTGGGAATTATTACAGTCATGGTGTTGACTGTAATAATTAAATTTGAACTGAAATACAACTAAAGCCCTGTCCACACTATCAAATTTTATTGGAGAAAAACATGTGACATGCCTAAATATGGTCATGGTGACATCATATCATTACTATATATAGGCACATCATTAACTATATGTGGGCATACAATAGTTTTTAGTCAAAGGAAATTTGATAATCTTGACAGAGCTTTAAACTGCTTGTCGTGGTCTCAAACTTACATTAAGATTATGACATACTAGCTTGGGATGGAGTGATAGATTTTATTTTATAGTTTTCAGTATGATATTAAAAATGTAGGTGATTACAATTATTATGAACATATTGGTAAAATGTAATAGAATAGAAATGGTTAATGGTGATTTTGACAAGATGGTGATGTGATTTCAATAGAGAAGAAAATTATCTTCGGGGAAGACTGGCGCATCAATTTCCATTCAGGTTCTGAACCTCGTTGAGGTTTTGAACCGCACACTGACCAATCTTGGCTGGCCATGCTTAGTTACCACAGCTTGCACTGTTGACAGTTTGTGAAGTGGCTCACGCTATGTTTCAGTGCTAGGTGTGAGTATTTCATGGCGTATATTGTGTCCGCCTCTCATCAATATTGATGGTAACGTCAGGCCTGATTTACCAAGATATACAAAAATGTGGACAATTGTAGACATTGTGTAAACAGAATAA